GGGCATCATAGACGGTAGGTTTTCCTACAAAGAGAAGAAGTCAACTCCAGCCTCCAATAATTTTCATTTCAAATTAGCGTGCTATTAAAAGAAGCTATCCATGGCAACAGAATCATGAAAGCCTGTTGGTACAGTCAGGCACGCGAGTCCGTTTGAGTGTGTCTGCCGGTGTCTGAACGCTCACTCAATGCTAGCTATGTAGCTAACTGTCCCTGCTGTTAGGCTACTTAGCTTGCATTGTTATGGATTTAAAGGTAGCAAAAGCTAACTTTCATAGCACAGCTTTGCTTTACTTCTCACTTCACACAATAAAGAAACAGAAAGTATAGTAGAGCACAAACAACACAACTGAGTCAATACTTACATATTTTCACTTGTAGTATTATAATAATTACAATGCTTGTTCTTCTGGGGGTCTTCTGTCCATGCTCAGCTACCGCAGTTGCACTGTACAATCGCCGGAGGACTGGGCTGTCACTCAAAAACTGAGTAGCCAATGGGGACGCACCCCTGAAAGTCCCGCCCACCTGGGATGTTTGTGTCAGAATCAAAACCAAAAAATGAAGGAGCGCAAACAAGAGAGCTGCAGCGAGAGCAAAAGTCTGATCATTGAGAAAGAAGCAAAGAGAACTGCAAACACAAAGACATGTTATAACAAAGAAAAAATATGAATAGTTACATGATTACACAAATGATTTGTTTTGCAAGTAATAGTTTACTTTTGAGATGATATTTCTTCTTGCTTGACTGAGTTTTTTTTTTCTCTTAAACTCTTAGTTTTGCTTGATTCTGAGAAAGTTTAGCTGATCTTAATGGCACAAAGCTTGATTCCATGTTTCTATGCTCACTAAACGAAACCAACAAAGTGAACAAAATAAATTAAACCATTACCATAAAAAAAAGGAAAGAGAAGGGAAAGGGTTGACCACCCTCCTGTCCACTTGAACAAAGAACACTTTTTAAACAATATAAATAAATATGCTAACCATCTACTACTGTGCATATGACCATTCAAACACGTTGAATACAAAAAAGAGTTAATGAATTCTGACAATGAATACTAGCCAATTAGCCTCTATGTGGCTGTACTTCCTGTGAGACCGCTGTCAATCAAGGGGGTTTGTGTGTTTTTAAGTGACTTAGCATAAGACATATTTTATTTCACTGTTATGTTTTTTGTAGGAAAATGCTGCATATAATTCAGTGGTGGCTGGTGCATTTTTCTCCAGGGGGGGGGCTCTACCAAAATGTAGGCAAACTTATACACAAACTCAAAAGTTAAAAACATGTCATATTACAACGCAGGGCTAGCTCAAAGGCACACAGCACTTGATACAGTCTATTATTTGAGTGCCTGTTTTTGTCAACCTCCTTATTATGCTTACTGATCCCTATCCTGTAGCCCTCATTGGACAGCTGTGTTTCCTAAACATGGCTAGTCGCATAGCATCATCCATGTGGACTCTAGTTTGTTCATGCTTTTTAGTTTTTCTGATATGTGCTTTAAGTCACTCACATCTGTCTGGATCCATGCTGGGTCTGGTCCATAGACTGGTCTGATCCTGACGTTTGAAAAGGGAGGCAGGGGAAGCTAAATATAGCACTGGTGTTGCTACAGGTAGTTAGCCCAGCCTTCTTGCTAAACCAGCTCCTTGAAAAAGAGCAGAGGCCTGTACTACGAAGCTGGATTTTCGCTTAGCCGGCTAACTTCAGGGAAATCTCGGGCTTTCCGGTCCTACGACGCTGGTTCTCTTTTTAGCAGGCTAGATTTCCATGGTAACTTATGCTGAGCGGCAAACCTGCTCCGGAGCAGGTTAGGTGGCAGGCTAAGAGATCAACTCAGTGAAAGCACCGCCTGCTGACCAATCAGAGCTCCGTGTGCGGAGTTTAAAGCGATCAATTCATATTACAGGATAGAGGAAATACAGAAAAACTGCCGTTGCAGGAAAGACGGCCGGCAAAAATCAACTGACTGTGTGAACGTGAAAATTAATAGAATATCCCCTCCTATCTTCAGAGCAATCTGACTATTATAATATTAGCGTTAAGAAAGCTTACTTAAATATCTGCCACGACATAAGTAACCGGATCAGAGTAACATTAAGTACAGTCCGCGGCACTGTGAGTGCAGACGTCGATGTGTCCCATTATCATTCATATCATATCACATCATAATGTATCCAGTGGCGGCCGGTCCATAGGGGCGCTAGGGGCGCCGCCCCACCTCTTCCCATATTGAAAAAAAAAAAAAATAATAATAATTAAAATTAAAATAAAAAAAAAAAAATATGTTTAAAAAAATATATATGTTTTATTTTTATTTTTAATGAACAAGGTAAATATTATATAATTGGTATCAGTAAAATGTATAATCTACAATAAAATCTCGTTTAAAATTGTGTTACGATGTCTAAAGTTACTGATAAGTCACATGTTTCCTGCCTGGACTTGCCCATGCACCTTCTCTCGTCTGGGCGCTAAGAGAGGAGCCTTCAACCAGTGCAGCAGCAGCCACCAGCAGCTGACTGTTGCTATCTGTAACGTGTAAACTATGCCGCGAAAATATAATTTCAGCCAATCAGCGTCGTTAAAGATGACGGTCACCGGGCGCCAATGTCAGCGCCCAGTGCAGTCTGTGAGTAGTTTGGACAGTGACTCGTATCCGGTTGACGCAGTAGTTGATGAGGATGGCTTCGTGTGCAGGTGGAGTCTCCGGACCTCGGTCCCCCGGCTAATTCTGTTCAAGAGCTAATCTCCAATCCTTTCGAAAGGAGAAGTTTGGCAGATAAATTGTTGCTTAAAGACCTTGCACCGGACCAACCCGATTTGAATATATCGCAGCAATCTCGTGAAAAAGACAACATTTATACACGAGGCTTAGTAGCTGGTACACAAGAAAGGCTTGGCTAGCTGGATGCAAACAGGTAATGCTGTCTTTTGTTTCCCATGCTTGGATATCACTTTATATGTAGAGAGGAGGTTTCCCATGGTTGTTAGAAGTTTATTAATAAGTGGGCATTTATCACAGAAGTGATTGTTCTGTCTCCACGTTTGTTGCATTGTCTGTGATGTATTTTCCAACGGTTATAGCTCCTGTTCTGTCCCAGCAACACTACACGGTTTGCAGCTCCACCACATTTTTGGTTTATCTTCGGTGTCGCTTAAAATCTGCTTCCCATCGGACTAAAACCTCCACGTAATCTGAAGACAGATACTTGAAGTTATTTAAACCTTTTGCAAACTTTATGTTCTTTCTTGCTCTAGCCTTGCCAGTTACATTGTACATAACACATATATTATCATTATGCTAACTGGTTGTTCGTGTTAGACGATGTAGCTTTTTCATTTCTGAGTTATTGCTATATGTAAATAAGCCTGTTTGTAAATAATCCTCAGAGAAACAAAGAAAAAACACAATTTATGACATTTTGTGCTGTGGTTATTTTTTTTAAATTGCATTTATTCACAGTTCAGTTTGAAATGCTGTAGTGACTTGTATTGAACCACTTAAATATTTATAATTAATGCTACTGAAAGATGCTATTAATTTTATATCTCACATGCAGTTCACTGTAAAGCTACTTGGTGAAGGTGTTGGTTCATAAAACATGAACAGTTTTAAGAAAGAAAAAAACAGACCAGTTCTGAGAACACAAATTCCTGGTAAAGTAGTAGATGTTCAGGTTGATAAATAATATTTTCCACACTGAAGATTATGGAGGTATTGATCAGTCTTCTCATATTTTTAAGCCCTCGATTTCTCCTTTCCCCCCCCCTCTAACATCACCAGAAGTCATCATTTAAGGGGTCATTTCTCGAAAAAAATTTCCGGGGGGAACCCCCCCGGACCCCCCGGACAGGTCACTTACGGTACGTCAAGAGCCCCACCAAAAAAAAGACCACCGGCCGCCACTGAATGTATCATATATTTCCTTATCTGAGTCAGCTGAGCCGTATCTGGCCGTGCAACACTCACAGTGTCACATACTGTATGCAGAAGTATTATTTTAAGCAACACATTAAGTTGATGAAACACTCGAGTCAAATTCTCCTAATTAAAGTCAGATCCCACTCGTGTCTTAGACAAACCTGTTAATGTACGCATTCAAACACTTTTTCTTTACCAGCTGTATTCACCTTGCAGGTGCAGCTATGTGGCTTTTATCCTGGATAAAGTGTTTAAGTCATGGATGTTTAAAGTTTAACTTCTTCATATTTGACTAATATTAAAGTTCACTTTTCATTCAGGAAGTATGACGCTGCACTGTCAGTACGCTTGTCCGTGTTTGAGATTGGTCGAATGCTCCAAATACCACCCCTTTCATGTGAACGCGCACCTAACTAGATAGGACACGGCTGGCTTGAGCGACCCACTTGATAACCAGCGGTCGTAGTACAGTTTAGCCAGAGCGCGTATGTTTTGGATTAGGCCAACCGGCTAACTCAAACATATCCAGGTTAGGTTGAACCAGCTTCGTAGTACAGGCCTCAGGTATACTGCCTTCCTCTGTGCTTAACTCCTGCCTATGTCAGGCTGATCAGGTCCGAGATCTTTTACTCTCAGCTTTCCCTCCAGTGTCCTCCTCTCAAAGGGTGTTTCTTTAAGTGATTAAACATCATTTTCCTTCTGCATATTCGCTATCTAGTTTTGGTTTACACTCCGTCTCCGTCTAAACTCTCTCTCATTCAAACGTCACACACACAACCAACACACAACACACACACACACACACACACACACACACAAACACCACACACACACACACACACACACACACACACACACACAAACACACAACCACACACACACACACACACACACACACACACACACACACACACACACACACACACACACACACACACACACACACACACACACACACCACACACACACACACACACACACACACACACACACACACACACACACACACACACACACACACACACACACACACACACACACACACACACACACACACACACACGAGGAGCCATGCCCTGTAACAGTTTATTCAGCATTGCTCCTGTAACACTATGCAAACAGGCATTACAACATGACACAACATGACACAGAAAACCCACACTGATAATGGAGCAGGTACACACGGTGGGAGGGGGGGGGAACAGGGATCCAGTAAACCCAATGATCCAGTAAATCCTTTAATGCAGTAACGTAGTATCAGTACAGTACATATGTTCATGATTGTGATGTCTGTTTGTCGGATAGATTTCATTCCTCTGTATTAAACCAGCCATGGCACAGGCTAACCTTGGTTCTAAATGGCACTGTAAATGGCTTTGTTAAGATGAACACAAGTACAACTCTAAATAAAAGCTAACAACTCTTTAATGTGAATATTTTTTAGAGGATATAATCCCTTGGGTTAGACGCTTTAACAAAGAAACGGTACATCTTACATACTGTAACACTGGGTGATGTCGTGTCCTTCATGTTAGAAGCATGTTTAGGCTAGAGACTACATATGCTTTACTTTTACACAGAAACATTGACAATGATATCCAAGTGATATTCAGAAAGACTTAGCTCATATTCCATGTCTCCTCACGTGTTTCTGCTCTTTTGAGTGTTGGGTCATGTACAGACAGTGGAAGCCCCCAGCAGAGCGCTGCAGCGTGTCACACAGGGGAAACACGGACCACTGTTCACGCACAGAACTGCTGTTTGAATATCTCTACACAGTGACAGATAATATCTAACATATTAAAGCTTGTAGGAAAAATGTGGCAAAATGGGGAAAAGCTTGACGATCATATGCAAAATATTCATTGTTTTATGCTCTAAAGTACGCAGGCTGACGGGTGCAAACACTTTACAACGGCCCAAAACATTTTCATTAGGAGAAACGAGCTGCAGCTTCAAAAACTGAATACCAAAATACTTGAACGATGCGAATATAACAACACAACGTCACCAAGCGCTCCGATCCCAGCTGTGTGCGTCCCTTTTTAGTGTCCCCTGGTTTCTGTTGTGTATCGAGCTTCTTGCTGTGTTTTGTATTTGCAGTGTTTTGTTTATGCAGCGCTTTTATTAAACGCTGCGCAAGTTGGTGACGTCTTTTCTTCATCTGCATTTGTTTTGGCACATTTGTGTTTTTTTATTTGCATTGTTTTTGAGGCTGCAGCGCATTTCTCCTTATGGAAATGTCTTGGGACGTTAAAGTGCATTTGCACCAGTCGGACACCGAACTGAAGGGTTTTTATTGAAGGAACTGCTGCTGTGATAAAGCTGTAGCATCTTCTCACACGTGGAGCTGACTACGAGGGACTTATTATGCAAGTTCTGCTCTGTGTTGAATTATTTCTGTTGGTCAAGGTGCGTCAGAGTATAATGTGATATGATATTAAGTACATATCAACACTAAAGTGCTGGGCTACTTATTTTATTCAAAACATTAGAGAATATTAAATATTGTTTGAAATGATGCTCTTGCTGCTTGTATGTGATCAGGGAGAGATGGTAAACATGATCCTGAACTAAACTGTATTCAGTCAAGGGAGTTAGAAGCAGCCAAGTGAAATGAAATATGGTAATCGTGTAAACATGGTGCAAAGTAAAATCCTCCCCACAGTCTTTCTCAAAGAAGAGCTGCAGCCACTGACCAAATCTGATCACAGGAAATGATGTCAGAGGTCCATTACACACTAAGGGTCTGTGTCCACATGGCGCCCTATTCTGAGCGCCAGCTTCTTATTTTAATTTTTAACAATGAGGGTAACTGCCGTCGCATGAGGCCACTTGAGATGATAATATTTCTATGTTTAGAGTAAATTCTTGATTTTGGCCATGTTTATAAGATGGAAACTATCATAATGAAGACTAAAGAGCTGATTTGATTGGACAGGTGGACTCAGACTGTTGCTGTCGGTGAGGGTTCTCTCCGTACTTGGATCGTCCTACACACTCTACGGCTGTCAGACTGATTAACAAGGCTCAATAATACAAAGTGTGAGAGTAAGCATCTTCTGGCTGCCTGTAATGGTGAAACACATATATAGTAGCTTCAATAGTTAATTGAGAACATGGAGGCAAAGCGAGTTTGCCAAACAACTTCGCTGGTACACTATCAAGATATTGTTGTCATAGAAACATCAGTGCCGGGACAGTTTTTTTCTTGATTAAAAGCGGGGAGGAGGCTCTGCACAGCGCCCAGAAGAAGATGCTATGTGGACTCAGGCTCGAATACACACTCTCCCTTTCAGTGCAGGGTAGCTGAAACAGGATGGAGCTCCCAGATGATCTGTCTCACTGGTAACCCTAACAACAGTGGACTGACACTGAAGACAGAGTGTTGCTACATCTGTGTTTCTACTCAAGGCAAGCTCTGGGTTAGGGGAATCTCTTCTTCAGTCAATCTTCAGCACAACTATTCTGCTGCAGGAAGTGGGACTGCTGTGTGACGTTGGGGGGGCTTCAGAGGTCGAAGAGGACCTCCAGCACGGTAGACAGAGACCAGGCCTGGCTCTCACAGCTGAAGGGACAGAACTGACCGTTCTCATTGGTCAGCTCAGGCAGACCCTTCCATGGAGACCTGAGCAGAGACAGAGAGGCGAAGAGATGACAACACAACCATTAATTCAGCTATCCGTTAGCATAGCTTCCATTCATTCAGCATTACCAGTTAGCATACCTTCCATTCTTTCAGCATTACTCGTTAGCATACCTTCCATTATTTCAGCATTATCCATTAGCATACCTTCCATTCTTTCAGCATTAGCCGCTAGCATACCTTCCATTCTTTCAGCATTACCCGTTAGCATACCTTCCATTCTTTCAGCATTAGCCGCTAGCATACCTTCCGTTCTTTCAGCATTACCCGTTAGCATACCTTCCATTCTTTCAGCATTAGCCGCTAGCATTCCTTCTATTCTTTCAGCATTAGCCATTAGCATACCTTCCATTCATTCAGCATTAGCCGTTAGCATTCCTTCTATTCTTTCAGCATTAGCCATTAGCATACCTTCCATTCATTCAGTATGCCTTTTAAAAGTCTCTTTATAAGTGAAAGGGAGCACAGTGTTCGTACCTCTCCAGGTGGGTGTAATGCCGTGACAGAACATTCTTCACCATGGTGACTGTTTTAGCGTAGCTTTCTTCTCCCTGCTTCTTGGCAAAGTAGAGTTTAGCACGCAGGAAGTAGCCTACAGGCCACAGCCACTCCTACAAAAAAAAAAATATATTAAAATCCTGCTGCATCGCTGGTTCTATGCTATAGTTCAAGGTGTTGGTTAGCTTTAAGCTAACTCTTCTGCAGCTCATTGTCTGACAGCAGTTGTTAATAAAATATTTTTCTGCTCTGAAATAGATTTTAGTATGTAAAGTTTTTCAAGGCTTGGGAAGTAACGGATTACGTAATCAGGATACGAAAAAATGGTAACTGTATAAATGACATTAAAAAAGACGTAACCAGATTACTTTTTTTAAAGGTCCCCTATTATACTGTTTTTTATAAATATATTACAAGTCTCAGATATATACAAAACAAGTCTCTGAAGTTTTTTGCTCCAAATACCTAACAGATCATTGCAGCATCCCATAATCCCCTCTGTTTCAGCCCTGTTTCACAAGTGCTGATTCTCTGTCTGTTACTTTAGATGAAAATAAGGAGCCACTCCCCACGCCCCACCTCATTCACACCAACGGTGTTTCAGGGCCGGTTCGGAGCTGGAGCTTGAAAAGCACGGGGTTTTCCTGTTCACATCACAGCGGAGCAGCCTCTTAGCTCCGGAATCCGGTTCGTTTCGAGCACCAAAAAATTGTCCGGCTAGAAGCAAAAGCACCGCATACGTCACGCTTACGTCGAGGCACAAACTGGATAAAAAGCCCGCGTTTTATCCAGTTTGTACACAACGATGGAGAAACTTAACAAGCAGCACCTACTGGGAATCTGGTCTTCCGAAGAGGTACAGAGGAAGCTGGAGGGGAGCACGCGGTCCAAAGCAATTCTCCAACAATTGCAGAAAACCAAAACGAGTAGCGCTTCAACACAATCGGCCATTGTTGTTGTTGTCGGTGTGAGCTGTGAGGGGTTTCCGCGCGGTTTGGGTTTATGAAGCAGGCACGCAAACGGTTACGTCATGACGCAAACGATGACGCAATGACGCAGCACCAGTCGGACTCTGGGCGGTGTGAAAAGAGCCGGAGCTAAACCGAAGAACCGGTTCTGAACCTGAAAAGCTCTAGCACGGAGCTTGAACCGGAGTTGCGTTGGTGTGAATGAGGTATCTGAGAGATATTTGGTTAAAAAGAACACAATGGTGCTCTAGGAGGAAATTCAGGTGATATGGCGGGGGTTACCTTGGTTGGTTATTGGCTAATGGTTACACAAGCCAAAACATCGTTATGACATCATAAAAGTGGCCAAAATCTGATCAGCTCATTTTCAGGCAGGTTTTTATATAAATGGATCAGGACAAAAAGAGAGAGAATCTTTTTTCCTGAAACGTTCAGAGTCTCTTTACACAGAGGGGACACATGTTGATGAAGAAGAGACATGTGTCCCCTCTGTGTAAAGAGACTCTCTCTTTACACAGAGGGGACACATGTTTATGTAGAAAAGACATGAACAAGTGGATTTTGCATAATAGGTGACCTTTAAATGGGGATTACTAGCAGGATAACAATGTTACAATACATTTTGAAATAAAGATCAATATATTGTAAGGAGACATACTATCTGAACTTTCTTTATGGTTTTCATTTAGGCTACTTTCATTATTTTTTTTTAACATCTTTTTTTTTTTAAAGGGGACCTATCATGCAAAATGCACCTTTTGATGTCTTTTATACATAAAATGTCCGAAATTAGGTGCTACATCTGTACATGAATATGTGTCCCCGGTGTGTCAGGGAACTCACGCAGCGTCAGAAAATAAAACCCTCTCTCTTTTCCTCCGTAGCCAAAGAGAGAGAGCCTTTGAGCTCCATACTGTTTCAGAAATAATCCTTGATAATCCATGATATGGCATTTCATCACGGCAGTATCTGCCGGTAGAGTCTCCCGCATGAGCAGGCATAAGCCCTGCCCCTCTTTTTTATCATTTTTTTTTTTTTAAAGCTTTTTACCCAAAATCAGCACTTTTGAAACAGGAAGTGAAATAGAGGGATTTGAGGCATGGCTAGAATGGGTGATCTGTTTGGTATTTTGAGCAAAACACTTCATAGACATGTTTTTTATATATTATTATATATCTGAGACCTATGCTATTGCCTAAAAATCGCATGATAGGTGACCTTTAAATTAAGTAGGAGGACAACTGATTTATTAAACAAAATTATAGTTACGTATGTAACTACGGTTCTATGAATACTGGATGACCACCAGAGGCGGTGCTTTAGCACTGGATATCTTCTGTCTCGCGCATGCGTAGGTCAAATATTTATATCAACAAAGTCACGTGTGACCTCGTATGACCCCGGAAGGCATAAGTTCCGGTGTTGTCAACGAGTTCAGTTCTATGGAATCTTCTCGCGGAAACACGAGATTCCGAGTGACCAAGAACTCTGGCGGTCATCCAGTATTCATAGAACCGTAGTTACATACGTAACTATCGTTCTATTTCACCCTTACTGACCGCCAGAGGCGGTGCTTTAGCACTGGATGACCTATACCAACAGAGTCACGAGGAAGTCTGAATACTCCCCCTATAAGGATGGCCTAGGCGGACTCTGCAGGAGGACCACACCCAGCGGGTGAGGGGCGGCAACATTCACCCTGTAGTATCTGGCGAATGTGCTCAGAGATGCCCATGTGGCCGCAGCACATATGTCCTCCAGGGGCACACCTCTCAAGGTCGCCCATGACGTGGAGACACTCCTGGTAGAGTGGCACTTTACTCTGGGTGGCAAGGGACGGTCATTCGCTTTGTATGCCCGGGCAATGACGTCCACGATCCAGTGGGACAAGCGCTGTTTTGAGAGCGCACAGCCACTTCTAGGACCACCGTAACACAGAAAGAGCTGTTCAGACTGACGCATGTCAGCGGTAGTCTGGACATAAGCTCTAAGGGCCCGCACCGGGCATAGGAGTCTTGACCTCTCTTCCCCCTCTCCTGATGGGGGGTCAAACCGTGCCAGCTGGATAGGCCGATTAAAATGAGAGCGTGCCAGCACCTTAGGGAGGAACGCTGTGTTCGGCCATAAGGTGACACCTGAGCCATCTGAGTTCCACCTCAGACACGAGCTGTTCACGGACAAGGCCTGAAGCTCGCTTACACGCTTTGCTGAGGTGATGGCAAGAAGGAAAGCAGTCTTAGCTGAGAGCCACTTCAGTTCTGCCTGTAACAAAGGTTCAAGAGGAGGCGAGCATAGGGCATCCAGCACCAAGGGCAGATCCCATGTAGGGGCCCTTGGCTCCCCACTGTGCTGTTGTCAGCCCTTGCGTGTTGAGCTGATATAGCAGCCACATACACCCTGACGGTAGCGTGACACCGGCCGTCGTCCAGGAGGGACTGCAGGAACTCAAGGGTCGTAGGCACCGAGCAATGTACTGGGTCCTCATTTCACCCTTGGCACCAGTCAGAAAACAGTTTCCACCTGTTTTCGTACTGCCTACGAGTAGATGGTGCCCTAGCATTTGAGAATAGTCTTCCTGACAGACTCTATGCAGTCGCTCAGCAGTGGGTCGGGCCCTCCAGTGGCCAGACCCACAGCTGGAGGCGGCAGGGATAGGGGTGCCACATCCGACCCTCCAACTGAGACAAGAGGTCCTTCCTGTTGGGGAGACACCAAGGCGTCCCACAGCAGAGTCTGTGCAGCAGATGGACAGGCCCTCACCTAGCTGGGTTAAATAAGGAAGTTTAACAGGACAGCCTAGCCAGGCGGCTCCTGCTAGAATCAAGCAACACGCCTACCAGGAGCGGGGGCGAGAACACTGCCTTCACTGGTTGAGTTGATAACGAATTCCAGATGCAGCGTAACTGGGAGCGGGTGCGAGAACACAGCCTCCACTAGCTACCTGCTGAACGTAAACGAGTAGAGCAATGCTCCTACTCGCCGAACACAGAGAGGAATGTAAATGTCCTACACCCACGTTACCAGCAGAGAGAGCGGGAGCGAGAGCACTGCCTTCACCTAGGTGGATTAGATAAGGACATTTAACAGGGCAGTTTAGCCAGGCAGCTGCTGCTAGAATGAAGCAGCACGTCTACCAGGAGCGGGGGCGAGAACACCGCCTTCGCTGGTTGAGTGACTGTGTCCAGAGCCACCCCAATGAAGGTTAGGCTCTGAGAGGGGTTCAGACAACTCTTCTCCATGTTCACCCTGAGGCCTAGCCGGGCGACATGAGAGAGAAGGAGAGCCGTGCCCTGGACCGACTGTAACCGGGATGGTGCACAGATTAACCAGTCGTCTAAGTATGGCCGAATCTTCAATCCTGAGACTGCACCCTTGGGGAGAGGGAGAGTCCGAATGGGAGCACCTGGAAATGACGGCCTCTGAAGGCAAAGCGAAGAAACTGCCTGTGATGAGGCACAAGAGGCACATCAAAATAAGCGTCCTTCAAGTCGACGGACGTGAACCATTCCCCCCTGGCCACGGTACGAAGAACGTCCGCTGTGCTCAGCACATGGAAAGGTAAAATCTTTAGGAACTTGTTGAGTTCCCTCAGATCGAGGATTGGCGAAGTCTACCGCCTTTCTTCCTTACCAGGAAGTAGGTAGAGTAGAAGCCCCGGGCTATGAGATGGGTCCACAGGCTCGATTGCACCCTTGGAAAGGAGGACTGACAGCTCCTGGTTTAGGGTGATTTCTGCATCCTGCATGGCTGCCAAGCAGGGTTCGAGTTATAAACTGAGCTCTATGGGGGTCTTTAAAACTAACGCGTGCTTGCGCACACACACACACACACACACACACACACACACACACACACACACACACACACACACACACACACACACACACACACACACACACACACACACACACACACACACACACACACACACCACACACACACACACACACACACACACCACACACACACACACACACACACACACACACACACACACACACACACACACACACACACACACACACACACACACACACACACACACACACACACACACACACACACACACACACACAGCAGCAGCCCTCTACTTGCTACAAACTTAAATATGAAAAGGTTCAACTATGCACACACACATCATCTCGGCTCGCGCAGCACGCTCACAGGCATAGATTGCGCAATAATGTATTGCGCACCTTGGAGGTGCAGTGCAGGCATATTGTCATTCAAGAGATGCGTAGTTCTTTTGGAAAACATGTTTTTCTTTTATCCTATTTACCTCGTTAACGTAATAATATTCATTACATTGACACATGCGTTATTTGTGATTACAATAATGGTTGTTGGTAATGTATTAGCGACCCCCACAGATGTATGATTTCACTGCGTCCGTGGGAGCTCAGACCCTCCTTAAGGGAGCTCAGCTCCCATTGGCTCCCACATAACTCGAACCCTGCTGCCAAGGCTCGGCCATCGGACGTAAGACGGTAAAGAGCCTTAGTGTCCCTCCAGCATGCATGTAACTCCCTCAGATACTCACAAGAGGGAGGAACAGTAAAGGTGGCGGGTGCCGGAGTGCGCCTAAAGGACGCACTGGCAGGCGCTGTTTCAGGCTGCTGTGCATCCAGCTGCTGGTGAGCCAGTGCCATGCGAATGACGGTACCCATGGAGCCGTCATCTGCCTCCTCCGAGGATCCATGAACTGAGGTACAGGAGCCAGGCCCAGAAGCATGGGATGGGCTCTCCCCGTCATACTCATTAAATTGAGTGGCTAAAGCTGCCAACGAGAACACATCGTCATCTAGAACCAGCTCAGCCACGGGTGGATCGGGTGCAGCGGCGTGCTCGGTACGGGCACCAAAATGGAGAGCCAAGAGGAGTGACTTCATCTGGGCTAGCTCAGTAGTAAGTAGGTCCACCCTGGAGGACAGCCTATCAGGCTTAGTCCTCTTCTTGGGCGGTCCACCCGCAGCCTCTGCGGCCCAACGCCTAGGATGGGTAGGTTGGGCTGGAGTCGACTGTGCAGGGGGAAGGCCACCCTCAGTCAGTAGTTCAACCTCGGCTAGTCTAGCAGCTCTTACCGCACGAGTCATGATGGTGCAATTCATGCACGGGTCTTCCGAAAGGCCCTCCCTCAGATGCTCGAGGCCAAGACAAGAGGGGCAAAGGTCATGGCCATCCTCTGGTTGAAGAGGAGCCATACAGGTGTTAGAGCCGTTAGACATAGCGATAGCTAGAGCACTCAGCTGACTGTAAATAACTGGGCCAGGAAACAAATATGCAGTGGAGGGGAGTGAGCACAATAGTAGTTAGCGTGAGCACTCTGCTAACTGGGGTGAGAAAAATGAAGTCAGTTAATGGGTTTATGCCGTGAGAGGAGAGCGGGAATACTAAATAGCTAAATCTGGCACTGTTACGCTTGACACATTTTAATGTTTTAAGTGTTCATTACAGTGCATTGTCCCTGTCAAATAAACAATTAAATAAAATAACCAATTGTGCGCCGTGAGAGGGGAGCGAAGACACTCTCCTCACTAGCGTCGTAACAGTTAGCTTGAGCGAGAACACTCAGCTAACTGGAGGATGGGACAGGTAAGGAACCAAATGTGTGCCATGAGAGGGGAGCGAAGACACTCTCTTCACCAGCGTCGTAACAGTTAGCCTGAGCGAGAACACTCAGCTAACTGGAGGATGGAACAGGTAAGGAACCAAAATGGTAGCGATCTCACCGACTGACGTGCAGGAGCGTCCGCTCTTTTCCGGTCCGGAGCTCCTGGGGTCCGAGCGGTGAACACCGCGGTCCCCTCCCTTGGGAGGCGACAGCTCGTCGCAGCCTTTGGAGGGCGAGCGTTTCTAGCCCGCAGCTCCGATCGAGACGATCACAAGGCTACAGGCGATGAGCTAGAATCGAATTTTCAATAAGCTAGCTTGGCTTCTACTCAAAAAGTAGTAACCTGCGCAGCGAGAAGATGAAAAAGAACTGAACTCGTTGACAACACAGGAACTTATGCCTTCCGGGGTCATACGAGGTCACACGTGACTTTGTTGATATAAATATTCGACCTACCCATGCGCGGGACAGAAGATATCCAGTGCTAAAGCACCGCCTCTGGCGGTCAGTAAGGATGAAATAGAACACTGTGTTTGCTTTTAATTGTGTAAACTAATGCTTTTAACTAAAATGTGTAAACTTTACTTTTCTAACTTTACTTTTCTGTTGGCCTAGCCTTTCATTTCAGATGAGACATTTTTGATACTAAATATCTTGGTTTCTTCTTTTCTAAGGTTACATTGTTCTGTTGTCAGAATACACACCGAAAAAACTGAAACGTTGACTTTAATTAAATGTATTATGTCAACAAATTTCACATAACTGTATTAGGTTAGTTGAAAGCAATAATATTTGGTTGAACCTAATATTTGTATTTAAACTTAACCTGTTAAGCCCTGAGCCTGTTTTTCAGGTCTCAGGCTCGAAAATGACATTCCCAGAACAAATGACCATATCTTCCCTTCTAAAAGGGTTAAATTAATAATCTTTTTTCTCAAAGTAATGATAAACCTGTGAGTTGGATGTAGAAAAGTCAGAATTAATATAGATGTTTTTAATTTTAAAGAAAATTCAGATTTTACATAGTAAAAAACTGTAAATTATAGTGTCCGTCCAACATTTTTTTTTACTTATAGTGAAAACTACCCTTGGATGATGGGTTAGTAGACTAAAAGCTTTAGGAATCCAAAGTACAACATATAATAAGTACCCTGTATCAAGATTGATGCAAAACAAGTGACATTTGACCTTTTTAGAGAGATTTAGCAAAAAGAAACCACTTCTGGGGTCATTTGGGTGGATTTTCCATATCTCTGGCCCCCCCTTGCTCGATTTTGATGGTTGACACCTCTTTCTGACCGTTAGAGCCAATATAATCGAAGGGGGAGTCCCCCACACACACACGTTGTGAAGAGAAAAGGTGGGGGCTTCGCGCATGTCATTTAGCATCAGAGTGAACCTATCTCTAGCTTTGACATCTGGAAACGGAAAAACTGTTTTATTGCTTATGGATTATCAGAAATCATTTCAAAGGGACACAGACACATTGGATTAACTTCAGCAGCGTTTTTATCGTTTTAATGCCATTGAAGACCACTTTGGAGAGACTACAGAGCCAAGGTAAAAATGTTAGCATTTTTAGCTACCTAGCGTCACCTGTTTTGATGTCCGATTTTGCTTATAACGTCGCCATTTCGTATAATTCAGTGATAATGTGGGTACCCATCGATTCTGTGTCACCTCACGATGTGAAACGATGTCATGGATGTAGAGAAGAGATAAATAATAAGGTTTTGTGAGTGATTTTCGGTGCAGTAAGGTGTTAGCATTTTCGCTCGTTGCTAATTCAGAGGCTCAGTGTTAGCATTGTGGGTTTTCTTTTGAAAAAAAAAAGAATCATCAGTTAGATGAGTTTCTTCCCGTTACATGGATATAAAACATTCATAGTTTATTAAATGTAAGATGCCCTCAGACACTGTTTCCTGCAAGATGTTGCGGCAGTGCCCCGGTACCGGGGTCTCTCGGGCTTAACAGGTTAATGGTTATATGAATTCTGTTGACATGATACATTTAACTAAAGTAATCGTTGCAGTTTTTTCAGTGCACTTCTTATTGATTTTTATTTTCTCCTGTATTTATTTGCATTATATTTGATAATGAGGTAATCCAAAAGTAACGGAAAGTAATCAGATTACATTACTTTTATTTTGTAATAATCAGATTAGGTTACTGATCAGATTTGTCACAGGTAACTAGTAAATGTAAGATGTTATAGTAGGTTTTTATTGTAACTTGAACTTAAATGAAAATAAAGATGTATTCAGATGACTATCTGCTCAGTGTCTGGGTGGTTATGATGAAGCTTCAGATAGCCTCTCAGGGTTTCACATATCTCCATTCTGTAAGATTGTAGTGGATTTGGAGCTGTTTGTAATGAGTGCGTCTCACTCACTGGGCCTTGGTGGTAGTTGAAGCCTTTAGCCAGGTTGTAGTTGTCATTGTCCAGAGAGTTGTCATAGACACCGCAGTACACCATGTCACTATGAAAACACAAATACTATTATCAGTATGAGACTGAATGTATAAGGAATCCTCCTACTGCCATCACTCTTCTTTGAAGCACATTTAAAAGCAGGTGGAGTGACAGTACATCTGCCAAAGACCCTAATGAAGATATATTTACTCGGGGTCCAGCGTCTTCATTCCCAGCGGGCCCAGCAGTTTCTTCTCAGCCATCTCAAGAGCCAAGCAAGCCTTCTCCACTGTGAACAGCTCGGGGGCCTTCAAACACAGAGAGCCTGTCAGCAACCAATCACAGCTCAGCACACCGTGAGCCTATACCAGATGTTCTACTTACCACCACCATGGCTATAGTGAAGTTGGGTCTCAGCTGGTAGTCACACCAGGCGTTGGAGGCCCCGTAGCTGTCCTTATAGATGCCTTTCTTGTGCACAAGGTCAGCATGCTTCTCATTGGGGTCACCTGGGTCCCCGGACACCCAGAACCCTGCCTCGAAGGTCTGCTGCAGCTGCTGGTTCCACTGGGAGTACGAGAGGAACTCCTCCTTACCTGCAACACAACGGCAGGGTTTATACCAGGGGTGCATCTTCAAAGTGTATACATTACAAGACATGAACTGCAATGTCAAAAACGTTGATGTATTTTTCATGTATAAATATGTTATACATTTACAAGGCAGGGGGATAAGTAAACCTTCCTTAACAGTTCCCACTTTAGTCTGTATGGTGGTGTGTCAGTTCAGGTGGTCAGGATTAGTACACAGAAGTGGAAATGAATGTAACATGATTTCTAGATCTTGACTAGAAGTTGTTTTGATCATAAAGTAAAATACTAAATTGTTCAGTTCCAGATGATCTGTAATGCACGTGTGTAAATGATAAACATTTTGAGAATCTACTTTTTTGCACTAAAATGAAGGGAACAATTTAGAGTAGTTGTTATGCAGAGGTTATCATGCATTGATTTTACTGGTCCGGCCCACTTGAGATCAAATCTTGCTGTATGCGGCCACTGAACTCAAATGAGTTTGAGGCCCCTGGTTCATACTGATGGCTAGTCAAACCAAAGGAGTGCAGGACACACTTCATCATGTGAACAAACAGTGAGTATTTGTGTGTGTGTGTGTGTGTGTGTGTGTGTGTGTGTGTGTGTGTGTGTGTGTGTGTACCATCTCTGTGTACTTTGGCTCCGTCATAAGGGAACAGTCCTTTGACATGGAGCTCCACCACCCAGCGGACAGCTGACTTACTGAGACCAACAATCTCTACTGCTGCTCCGTCCCTGCACACACACACATTCACCTCTGTTATTCTGTTAATTATTTAGACTGTAAAACATCAGAGGATAGGGGAAACAAACATACACAGTAATGCTGAAGTAACACTGAGGAAAACAGCAAATCTTCATATCTGATTAAATCCAATACAGGACGATGATCTGATGCAAACTAGCTTTAAAACACTGTGAGGGGTTTGTTATGTTAGGGAACGTGTGTGATGAATGTTTGTGTGGTACCTTGTTGTGTGTGTGGTAGCTTGAAATGGTTCCTTGGAGTTACCTTGGAATGTCTGTGTGTAATTGTATTTGTGATATCTTGGATTGTGTTTGCGTGTGTGTTATCTTGGAGTGTGCGTGTGTATGTGTTATCATGTATTTTCTGTGTGTGTATTTCTTTTTATGATATATTGGATTGTGTGTAGTGTTGTGCCTGTATGTATCTTGAAGTGTGTGTTTGCATGTGTGTGATCATGTGTTATTTCAGAGTGAGTGTGTGTTTTTATCTGTGCTACCTTTGAGTGTGTGTGTGTGTATGTGTGTGTGTGTGTGTGTGTGTGTGTGTGTGTGTGTGTGTGTGTGTGTGTTACCTTGGGGTAGCGGGCATGCCTTTGTTCTTTGCCTTCTCACTTTCTCCCATCTTATCCATCCATGTGCCGCAGTTGAAGCGGTTTCCTCCGCTCACAAATCCGGTATCTGGATCCACCTTCGCCTCCACGTTGAACGCTGGAAATAAGATTCATGTATTTGATGAAACACCCCGGTTGCTACTGCAGGATCAACCATATATCATGCAGTAGCAACGTTTTTTGGTACTTTATCTTATTGTCAATGAACATAATATGTGCAAGCGCACACGCAAGCGCACACACACAGTCTGTCTACCTTCATCTTTCATGTGCATGTCTATCTTGGGTCCAGCGTCTCTCTCTCTGAAGGAAATTCCCTGTAGGTGGCGCTGCAGAGCCTCCTGGATCACATCATACAGAGGCTGCTCCTGCACACACACACACACACACACACACACACACACACACACACACACACACACACACACACACACACACACACACACACACACACACACACACACACACACACACACACACACACACACACACACACACACACACACACACACACACACACACACACACACACACACACACACACACACACACACACACACACACACACACACACACACACACACACACACACACACACACACACACACACACACACACACACACACACACACACACACACACACACACACACACACTATATGGAAAGTGCTGCTGACCTTTAACTGTGTGTGTGTGTGTGTGTTTGTCAGTTGTACATACCACTTCTCCAGGGGTCAGAGGTTCACAGTCATCAGTAGGGTACATGCGTGTTACAGGGCACTGAAGGATTTCATGCCCCTGAGGAACGTGGGAAGTGTAGTCCTGAAGAAAGCACAAAGGAGGTTAAAGTTTATAAATAACTACATTATTAAAATACAATACAAGATCATACTGTATGTGTATGTAGAAATACATTACTTTTCTTTATTTATTGTAGGTAAACAAACATTTAATATAGTTAGGAATAACTTTAGAGGGGATTGCTTGTTGAAAGTGAAATGTATTTAGACCTTCTTTACATCGACCATATATTATACCATATTACTACCTGAATGCACTGCAGCCACCACCACACAGCATCACGGCAGTTGAAGCGAGCACAGCGACCCTCACCCAGCAGGTTGGGGATCAAACCGTGACGCAACGTGCCCGCAAATGCCAGGATGATGTTGCTATGGAGACCAGGAGACAGAATGGTTTATTTTAGAGTTAAGTTACTGAAGGGCAGGGCAATGAAGTAGCATTAAAAGACAGAAACGTGTATGACTGTTGCCCAGAATAGCACAGCACACACACACACACACACACACACACACACACACACACACACACACACACACACACACACACACACACACACACACACACACACACACACACACACACACACACACACACACACACACACACACACACACACACACACACACACACACACACACACACACACACACACACACACACACACACACACACACACACACACACACACACACACACACACACACACACACACACACACACACACACACACACACACACACACACACACACACACACACACACACACACACACACACACACACACACACACACACACACACACACACACACACACACACACCGAGCCTCGATGTGTCTCCCAGTGAGCAGCATCAGTCCTCTGAGGGCGATGAAAGTGTCTCGGCCCCAGCACCGGAAAATCCCAGAGGAGAAATGAGGCAGACCTGAAGGATGAGTCAAATCGGCCAATGAGCATCCACCTCATCTACAGTATTTATGTTTATTTCATTTCACCTTCATCTCCATAAGATAATGAGCTCATTCTTCAATTCAATACACACTTTTATTAATAATAATAATTAATAATAATTGTAACTTTATCTACAGAGACACCATTAAGCGTATGTTGCTATGCTACCTGCAGCCAATGAGACGCAGCACTGCTCCTTCTGGCCTGTGACTGGACTGACGCGGTAGGGAACGTTGTCAAGTTTCGTAGAAAGGGGAGGGAGGGCAGGCAGGCCTCCAACGCCACACATCTGAACGGACCCCAGTGCCAGGTAACGCACGAAGCTGGAGCCATTCTGGACGAAACTGTTTGAACAAAGAGAGAGAATATAAGCAGCTGAAGGGAGACAGGAAGTGAGGTTGTCCAACATGTCTCTTAACTGCAAAAACAGTTTTAGAATAGATTGCTACGGTGGCCGACAGGTGCAAACCGGTTACACTTCCATTAAGGGAAAAGTGCGATTTATGCAACGCTTTTAGTAACCGCTGCGCATGGATCATCAAGTTGGTGAAGATGTGCTTTTATTTGCCTATGTTTTGAAAGTGCAGCACTTTCTCCTAATGGAAGTGTTTTGGCCCATTGCAGCGCGTTTGCACCTGTCGGCCACCGTAATATCAGATCCTAACGATGCATATTTCCTGTTTCCTACCTGGACATGAGTTTCTGAGATGCGTCCAGAGCGGTAGTGTAGGTGGACACCAGTATGGCATCAAAGTAACAGGGGATGAGGTAGCGTGGGATGTGTTTCAGGTAGTTAAACATGGCTGCCAACCATTGACCAATCTGCACACACACAATGCACACACATCAGAAGAAGGTAACGGCTGGACTTAAACTAGAGGCATGTAGTTTAGTGCATGAGTACTAATCTTTTTACAGATATGCAACTCGAAGATTATTTGCATCCTGTCTATAATCATACTGTTCTACCCTGCATAACGAGTAGCTTACAGTGACAGGAGCGTTGACAAGTTGTTTTAAAGGCACAGCTCATCTGATTAAGACATATTTTGTCACTTACATTTTTTACTTAAATAGTGGTGTCTGGCCATGCAAAAGAATAGTTTTTAAGACACTCAAAGCATTGTCAATAAAAAGAGAAATCACCATTAAAATCAATGTTTAGGCTAAGATGACATAGCAGCAGAAGTATGAGAACAGATGCATAGTGCTGTATAGTATAGCTTTATAGGACACAGATTGCAGTGTTTTTTGAATGTGTTGGTAGTGGCTTGTGTCTGCAGAAGTGTTAGCAGCACCATTGATCATTTCGTTTTTTTTAAAGATATTTTCTAATTAGTTAAGTCTTGTAAATACTGTTCCCTACACCTTCATTGTGCTCAACTCTCATGAGAAAACATCAAAGACGGATTCCTCAAAACCTGAACAATTAAAACCAAATGTATCTGAAGGGCTGAATACCAGATCATGTGTCTTTTTGTATTGGTGGCCCTGTAGGCTGCTCACCTGTTGCAGTGGTCCCTCTCTGCGTGTCAGTCTGTTGGCGACAAAGTCTATGAGCCAGTCCCCTTGTCTGAGGTTGCCACACACAGGATGGCCCAGGTCATTGTTAGCACGGATGTCAGCCAGCACTGATATCAGACCTGAAGCGACAAAAACAACTGACCTCAGACCCTGTGTCCACACGGAATTGTTATTGTTTCAATTACAATCACCGCTTTTAGAGGACAGACTGCCTTTTATCTATATGTTCAGGCTACTTTATTTTTGTTCAATATTTCAGCATGAACACCAAATAGAAGATCCATAGAGCGAAAAGGACGGTGAGTGTTGATAAAAGTACAACACTCGCCAACAGCTAGTGTCTTTGTTAAGATTTGTTAAATGTATGTCGGACAGATGGGGCTTAAAACTAGATTCTACTCTAGCTTCTAATCTATAGTGAGCCCCCCAGCGCATATCTGAAAAGTCGAAATATTTTCACTTCAAAGCATTCGGAACGGCCACACAAAGAAGGCGGGACGTTATAATGCAGCTACTTAACTTTACTACCTTGGATGTGTAGTTGTCTTATTTTTATTTTATAAAGGTGTACTTGCCTTTTTATATAATATGTTATTGTCCTTAGCACATCCTCATTTTAGGAAATGTTATAGTTTATTATAGTACACTGTAAACTATATAGAACACCGTATAGTGTCTCAATTGGAAACTGTGTGTAACTACCTTGTAGTCCAGCATATTTGAGGCTCTCCCATCCTGGGATCCCGTAGCAGCCTCCACCATCTTCCTGTTCCTCAGCGTCACAGCGGAAGAGCAGGATGTTCAGGTCGGCTAACGTCAGCCTGGACATCAGTCTGTGGAACACACACGTTTAACACCAACGAGTGTCATCATCTTTGTCATTCCACACCTCTTATGTACACTCAAGACTACGGTGTTTAAAAAGCTGTCCCATTCCATCAAAGGGACATTTACTAGATGTCTTGTTTAATAGACATTTATAAAAAGTAAGCACAGCAGTGTAATGAGAACAATTATATAACAAGCAGACATATGGTTTTTAATTCCTTGTTTTCCTCTCCTTGTCCAAATATGGTGCCTACATTTCCCATAATGCAACTCAATGACAGTAGCAGTTGCTTGTAGCAAGACTTCCAATAAATCCACTGAACTTCACACCTCCAGAGTTTTAATTCTTCTTACAGCAACCGACACTAGCTCGAGTGACACTTAAGGAAATTCAATCAGAGTTTCTGAGAAACTCAAGACTTCATGCAACCTTTGGCACACTGTAGACAAAGTTTGACAATGTGAAGTTGAGTCACTGTTTGTCTTTCATAACAAATGTTATAGTTATGAAAGATAGTTAAGGCGGGTTTAACCTTACTCTGTTCATACCATAAGAAAAATATTTACAGTGAGTGATGTGTGGACATTTGACTCACTGTGCCAGGGGTTTGGTCAGAATCTCTGGCAGGTGTTCATCTGCTACACTGCCTCTCTGGTATTTTGGGCTGAACTGAGTCAGATAAAATCTCAGCACCCCCACCAGCTTCTGGGCCTTGGGGTCCAAACTAACCCTGTGAGGAAAAGAGGGAGAGACACAGAAAACCTTGAATTAAAAACGATTTAATTGCTAACAAACTAATGTTAAAGCTTTCAAAAGCCAATGAAATAGTGATAAATGTGCCTTGTAATGTTTGAATGATGATGCAAATACACAGTCCTTATTTCCCTTCAGTGCTGAGGTTTACCTGAAGGCGATGACGCTGCCAGGTGTCAAATTCTGAAAGGTGATTTCCTCCATAAACTCTGATATACCTTTAGAAGACACTCCAGCTTGCTTCACCACTGTACTCTCCTGTACCTACATATATATATACTGAATGTTATAATAGTTGAAATGATCTCATTTATATCAATAATACTCAGAATTACAGTGATTCCAAAAATGATCATAGCAATATTTACCGATATATGCTCCTTTATTTCCACAGTGTACTCTGGCATGCCGTTGATGTATTTGTCATCCTTCTTATAACTCCCAGCACGTCTTTCCACTGTCCTGGCCTCCAGCACCACTTCCTCTATCTTTCCTAGAGAGAGAGAGACAAAGAGAGGGAGATAGATTATCATACAAAGATGCAACAACGTAGTTAGATATACAAGTTGGAGATTTGTTATAGACAGGTGATAATGTAACTTCCATACCAGGTATGAACATGGGTGGGATGTTGGTGTTGTATTTGTGTGTTTGGGGGTTCCAGAAAGCCGTCCTGCACACGGCCACCACAGACTGGTGTGTGCTGGGACAGTGGCGAGTCACTGCAACAACATCTGCATCCACCTGGTCCACAAACACCTGCAGGACCAGATGAGATCAATGGATATGATACACATTTTAAATTTTCCTTATTATATCAACACACATACACATTTTTAAATACTCATACTCGTTCCTTTATTGAAGTGACAGTGTGTAAGGAGGAGGTAGAGGGGATGACTTGCAGCAAAGGGTCCTTGGCTCGAATTCGAACCCGAGCTCTACCGCAGCATGTATTATTTGAGCATATTCCTATCTATTAGTATATTAGTATATTATATATAATATATTAGTATGTATATTACTATATAAATATTCTAATATTCAAACATTAGACGTTGCATATTTTGTTAAAAGAATGTTCTTTCACGGTAGGAATTATTTAAGGAGGCCTTGTTTTCATTAGAGGCCAAAATATGTTTATGACTATTCTAAGAATCAGTTAGACAGTTGTTTACCAGGTCTCTGCTCATTGTATTTCTATCACATTATGGATGTACCTATATCAGGCTCTATGTAAATCCTGAGTGCTAATGCCTAGCAAGCTCGTAACTAAACCTTTCCTTATGTGTGGCAAACTTATATCTGGAGAAATGTGTGGGTGCCTTCCTGTCAGGCTGAAAGGTCATCTCCTCTCTGCTGCAGCTGCGTCCAGCCACCTGGTGTTCGGTGTAGGTGTTTAGGGTGAAAGGTGTACATCCAGTTTGTGATGGTGTCGAGGACAATACCCATAATCTTCCAAAATGTCTCTCTTCCTAGTCACGGGCCATTCTGAAAGTCCCAAATTATTTCCCCTAATGGTGCCACTAGTCACGTCCAAAGGCGTCACAGCCACACCCCCCGAGTGTGAGGTCAGTTCTGAACCTGCCCAGTACCGCCTTAAATCATACCCATGTGTTACAGATGTCTTCCTGCATTCAGCTATGGACTGGTTATACATTCCTGGGGTTGGAAGAGGAAGTCAGTGGCTCTTGGTTGGAGGAGCAGGCAGCATTTAAAAAAAAAAGTTATTTGTTTAATAGATTATGCTTGGACTCTAGAGCATTTCCATTTGTATTTTATATAATCAACCTATTTTTTCATTTTATTTTATTACCAGTCCTTAAAATGTTATATACTGTGCGTAAATAAAATCCCTATTTTTCTCTCCTCTCTCAACAGAGCTCTGAGAGTGGTTCCTACCTGGATGAAGCCCTGTGAGGCCAGCTCCTGGTGCAGCTTGTTCAGGGCCAGTTTCCCAGCTATGATGCCTGTCTGAGGTCCAACCTCACCGCCAGAGGAGGGGGCTGCTGAAGGGTTCCACTTGGGGTAAAACCGCTCCTCCTTCACAACAGAGATCTACACACACACACACACACACACACACACACACACACACACACACACACACACACACACACACACACACACACACACACACACACACACACACACACACACACACACACACACACACACACACACACACACACACACACACACACACACACACACACACACACACACACACACACACACACACACACACACACACACACACACACACACACACACACACACACACACACACACACACACACACACACACACACACACACACACACACACACACACACACACACACACACACACACACACACGTTAGTGATACATTATACAACTCTATGCAGTGGAATCAGAGGTGAGTTTCACATTAATTTAGTAAATCCTTTTGTAAATATTTGTTTGTAAACCATGGAATGGGGCTAAAAAATGTACACCTGTACACATACAATAAAGCAATCTCATGATTCAGGTTGTATTGTCTAATGCACAAAATCTACACCATAGTTGTTGGCAATGAAAATATGTGAAGTCCTGGTCCTGGCCACCAGTGCAACATACAGTATACTTAAGACATAGGAAGTCAAATACTGCAAAAACAAAATAGTGAAAGTGATACAGTGGTGCAAGTAAAAAGCAGGAATGAGTAAACTATGTTCATAAAGGATAGAATAAGATTAACAGAATGTAAAATGAAATACTGTACAGTAGAATAAAATACTCTTTCTAGCTAGCTATTGATTGATTGTCAGTTATTTCGATTATAAGCAGCTGTTTCAGCGTGAGCCAAGCTAAACTATCAAAAATAAATCTTGCAGCTTTTAGTTTTTTCACACAATCACAAACAAGAATGAATAGTAGAAGGTGATAGTTGAGTGTACGATTAGCGTAATCTACAGACCCCCCTACACCCAAACTTATTTTTTTTTCTTCAAAGAAATTCAGTTTGGTTATGAATTTAAGTTGGAGACAAACATATGACACTCTAGCTACAGTATAGAGATTTTCAAACTACAAAAGTCACGACTTAAGAGAAAATAAACTAGCATTAACCCTGTTTATATATTTGCATGAATATGATGATATTGAGGAATTCGTCTCACACAAGATATAAATACAGTTACTAATAACTCACCTGATGTGGCATTAACTCATCATATCCTCTGGTGGAGCCGGTAGCACAGCAGGCCATGGACACCATCGCTGAGCTGGGGAGGGAGTCCAGTGCTGAGCGCAGCTGTAACACACAAACATCACTGTACACACCTTTAACACAGAATGCATTGTGCCTACTAAAGCAAATGGTTATTAACATCTTCAGACCAAACCCAGGGACCCACCTGTATGGGACACTCGTTGTCATGGGTAACATCAAGGAACATGGCGTGTGCGATGGAGGGCATGAGTGGGCGGAGGCTGGGCTGAACAAAGGCCCCGACCGGCTCCCCCCCGTAGCGGTGGACCAGCCGGCCCTGCTCATGGCTGTCCCCGGCTGACATGGCCTCTGTGGACAGGGAGCGGAGTGAGACATGGAGGGACAGCTTTCACAACACATGCAGGTTCACAGGCACTGCAGTTCAACACAGGCTCACATTAAGGACACATGCTCACCAAGGCTAAGCTTACAATCATGACAAGAATACTCCTTTTTTCCTATACATTTGTCTATTTCTGGCATTACTCACACTATTGGTGCAGTGGAGAATTTGTTGGTATAGAGTCGTGCAGTGATGACGTGTTTTTGTAGTATAACCCTGAAGTTAGCATCCTAAGGGCTCCCTCAACTAAAAGCCAGTTGGGTCTTTCCATTGGATTTCGGAATATCGCAGGAAATAAGATCTGTGGCAAACACACGTTTATTTTACGTACCTACGTTTTGTTCAGCAGGATTATCTCCACATATTAACACCACTTAGGGATTTTAAAGAGTAAATGCAATATCCAGAAGTAAAAAGCTAACATTAAGCTATAAACAAACTACATCACGGCCATAAATCATTACTGCTAAGCTAAAGGTGGCTAATGTTCGGCGTGATGACGTTGAGTAGTTTATTTAGACACCGTTTTTATGACACATAGAAGCTTCAGACATTCACCAGTGGGGTATTTACTGACATAGTTTATAGAGCAAAACATGAAATCTCTTTAGCTTAGACCTTATTTTAGCTGTGTAACCAAAAACACGTTCAAAACAACGATGACTTGAGACAAGGGAACCAGAAGTGGTAAATTATGAACTCATTTCTGGTTTTAAGACTTATTCCTGCACCGCTTTGTTTGCACTTTGTCACAATTTGTGACAAATTGGAGGCAACTCAGTAAGTGAGAGTTGTGATGGTGCTTTCAGGAGTACATGGATGACACATGGATCCATGGATTGAACGGGCTTTGTCTCATGTTATTTGTACTGCATGTAACATAAAGCAGCATAAATACACGAACTGTCAACTTTGTCAATATTATTAAATACACTTTGCATATAAGGGCATGTAGTGTGGTGATTGTGGACGTGTACCTCGTATGAGCGATGAGATCCCTAGCTTGGTGACGAAGACATTATCCAGCTCCTCACTGCCAGTGAAGAGCTCAGCCACCACATACAGGTTAGGACACACTGTCCTGGCAGCGTCCAGCAGGAACTGATCACACACAGCAACACACAGCATACAGAGGTGGAGGGCGAGGAGGAGGAAGGAAAATCGAGGCAGAGGAGATATACAGAAGAGGGGGAGGAGAGAAGAAGAGATAGGGAGGAGATGGACAGAAGAGAAGGAGCAAATATAAGAGAAGGATATGGGCAGAGATTGAGAAGGAGAGAGGTAAAGGGGTGGGGAGCAGGAGAAAGAAGGAGAAATAGGGAGGAGATGGTCAGAAAAGGAGGGATCAGAGGACAGAAGGGCAGAAGGATGAGAGAGGGGGAGAGATAGGGAAGATGCAAAGAGAAAAGGGAGATGATAGATTGAAAGGAGGAGAGACAGAGGAGGGGGACAGAGAAGAAGGTGAAGGCGGAGAAAGGAGAGATAGTGAAGAAAATATGGACAGAGAGTGAGGAGGAGAAAGGGGGAATGGACAGGGAGGAAAACGGAGGAGGGTGGGAGGAAGGGAAGATGGAACAAAAAAGGGGAGGCAAGAGGAAGGAGAGAAAGGGATGAGAGAGAAAAGTAGGAGGAGAGAGGAAAGAGAGTTAGGGAGAAGATGGAGAGTGGTGGTGAAAGTGGATGAGAAAACACAGTGAGGAGGAGAGATATGTGAAGGGAATGCAGCCGGTGAGGAGGAGAGCACAGCATGCAGTCACACAGTGCAGGAGTGAGAGAGGAGGAGAGGAGGTGTGATGAGGAAGAATGAAGTTAAAGGAGGAGAGGAGACAGAGATAAAACACTGTGAGTTGGTGCAGAGTATTTGTACCTCGTACAAGGCTGCTAATTCCCAGCCGGTTCACAAACACATTGTCAATGAGCTCGCTGCCTGTGAACAGCTCAGCTATCACATACAGGTCGGGTCTGACAGATCGAGCTGCGTCTAACATGGCCTACACACACACACACACACACACACACACACACACACACACACACACACACACACACACACACACACACACACACACACACACACACACACACACACACACACACACACACACACACACACACACACACACACACACACACACACACACACACACACACACACACACACACACACACACACACACACACACACACACACACACACACACACACACACACACACACACACACACACACACACACACACACACACACACACACACACACACACACACACACACACACTGTGAGCATCTATTTTCCATTAAGTACACAAATGTATTTTACATACGTTTAAAACTTTTTGATTATTGATCAGCTGGTAAAGGTGGAACTCGTTTTAAATACTTTGTTTACTGCTGCACCTATAAGTATATATCAATGTTTATCTACTTTCCTGGATGAGAATATGAGAATACCTCGGCTACATGTAAAGGTGTCGAGTGGCAGTTGTCCAGTCTGACTCCATTAAAGTACTTGGCTGTGATCTCAGTGTATTTCTTCATGTGGGCCCACAGGTAGGGGCAGTCCTCGGGCCCGTTGCCATAGCGCAGTTTGACACTGTCCCCCCAGCACACCAGCTCCCGGCGCAGGTACACGTTGGAGCCTAGAAGAACAAAGACCATTACTGACACAAGGAATCACCATTTCATCAGGGCAAATTGTTCAATATATACCTGAAATTAGCTCATATTCCATTAAGATTCAATGGGCACAGAAATTATTTGTCCCTTATAAAAAACGATGTATAATCATGATTGACCGCAGCAGGAACTCTAGTTACAGTATGTTACATGTGTTTAAATTCTATGAATGTTTTCCACTGAGTGTAACATATGAACCTGGCTCAGCAAAGTTCCGCAGTGGATCGTCGCCCATCACCCAACCATTGTGGGCCAGGAAGTGACACGTCTTGTCTGGCTGATCCAGCAGCTGCAGCTCCTGCTCCAGAGTCATGTCCTCATACGGGAAGGTGAAATACCTGAGGCACACAGATGAGGGCACTGAGAAATCTGAGCCGGTTCACCAGATCACCTTGATGTTTGCGCTTTGCCCACTGCGAGGTTTGGTGCAAAGCCTTGGGTGGAAAACAGCTAGATAAGTTTCATATCTATGGTTACATCCCCCGCTAGCTTGTGGCGCTTTATAAACCTGTCATCTGATTGGTTGTGCATTGAAAGATCAGCGGTAAAGTAGGTGAAATCTGAAATAATTTGAACTTGGAACGCATAGTTTGATGATAATTTCGAGCGATGTGTGACACCACGGGTAACGCTTCTGCCTAGTGCAGAGCCGTTTTACCGCAAGCAACTTAGCACACACAAAAAGTATTATTTGTAGTTATAAAGGTTAAATGTATGTTGGACACGAGCCCATATGTAGGTGCTGTCTTCCTTGATCTCAGGAAGGCATTTGACACTGTTGACCACCAGGTGCTCCTTACAAAGCTGACTCATTTAAATTTTTCTGCAGTTTCTATACATTGGTATAAGTCTTACTTATCGAACAGAAAACAGTGTGTTTTGGTCAACGGTGCCAAATCCCCCAACCTTGTCAACCCTGTTGGGGTTCCACAAGGTTCTATTCTTGGACCGTTACTGTTTTCACTCACATAAATGACTTGCCTAATGTATGTCCTGAGTTGAATGTGCAAATGTATGCCGATGATGCGGTCATCTTTGTACACGGGAAAAACACTGAAATGATCTCATGTTGTCTCTCAAAAGCTTTGGACAAGGTTCAACACTGGTTGAACAACATGTGCTTACAGTTAAACGTAAAAAAACAGTATGCATGATGTTCAGTAAACGACCAGTCAAAATCGAAGGATCCAACGTGTTTTTAAACGGAGCAGAAATATAACTAGTCTCCCACTTCAAGTATCTTGGAGTCATACTGGACTCAAACTTAAGAAACATATCAAGAAAGTATCAAATACCATTAAATTCAACTTGCAACATTTTAAACAAATTAGTCCTTTCTTAACTGTCAATGCTGCAAAGTCATACCTCCACTGTATGATTCTATCCCACATTGAATACTGTTTTACAAACTGGTCGTTTGCTTGTGCCACCAACCTGAAACCAATAGAACAGCTGTACAAGAGAGCTATCAAGGTGTTTGACAGAAAGCCTTATTCATAACACCACTGTACCATCCTTGAAAAACACAATTTCTTGAGTTTTGACAATTTTAAGTCTTTTAAAAGTATGTGTTTTTTTTATAAATGTTTACATGGACTGCCCCCCCCCCCCCCCCCCCCCCCCCCCCCCCCCCCTTAGGGGAATTCATCCACAGAAAACACGCTGGACGCTGCACTAGGTCAGAAACCAGAGGAGACTGTGAGGTCCACCGTAGACGGACCACTTTTGGACAAAATGTCCTCTCCATTAAAGGCAGCTCATTGTGGAATAGCCTCCCAACTGAGATACGGGATTGTCCCACTCTCAATAGCTTCAAAGGTCAACTCAAAGAATGGTTGAGAAACAACCAGACGTGCAATCACCGCTAAATGCACTTTAACACAGGGGTATCTCCTCTTGCACTTTAGGTAGCTCTTGTATCTTCTCTGGCACTTTATATGTCGTTGCTGCTATATTGTACTGCCATGTCATAAATACTTGTGTATGCTGCTCTTGCTCTTTTGCACTTTTTGCTATGTTTGTAAAATGTAATTTTCTTAAATGTTTTATGTGAGGGACTGCGGATGGAAATTAGCTCAAAGCTAAATCTGGCACTGTTACGCTTGACACATTTTTTATGTTTTAAGTGTTCATCACTGTGCATTGTTCCTGCCAAATAAACGATTAAATAAAATAAAATAAATAGTTCATTGATATGGTTGTTGTGCTTTCCTGTGGCTAAGTGGCTCATTAGCACCAATCGAAGCAACATTTTTAGCTACCATAACTATGTATTGTTCACCAACTGTTTAGTTGACAAAGGAGAAACACACTGTTTTGAGTAACTAAGCATACACACTTATTGGCTTTGACAAAGGAGGCTTAGAAAGTCACAGATATGTTTATATGTATAATTAAAGTGTTAAGATGTATCTCTAGACAATTTATAAGGAGTTATCGACCCACATGAAGGAAAAACCTCCAAAATGTTTTTCGGACATATCAATATCTGCCTCTCTGAAGAACCAGCACCTTACCGTGGTGGAGAGGTTTGTGTGCCCTGATGAACCTGGGGGCTGTGTTGTCTGGAACCTTGTGTTCCTGGTAAGGTCTCCCATGGCAAATTGGTCTCAGGCAAGGGGCCAGACTAAGATTGGTTCGAAGACCTCATGAAAGACGAACTAAGAAGTGAGGATAACCGGCCCGGAGGAAGCCCGGGGTCCCCTTCTGGAGCCAGGCCCAGAAGGAGGACTCGTTGGCGAGCGTCTGGTGGCCGGGATTGCCACGGAGCCTGGCCGGGCACAGCCCGAAAAGGCAATGTGGGCAACACCTCCGCTTCTCCGTCCCGCGGGCCCACCATCTACGGGAAACAGCGATGGGGTCGGGTGCGCTGCCAGAAGGGTGGCAGTGAAAGCAGAGGGTCTCGACGGACCAGACCCGGGCGACAGAAGCTGGCTTTGGGGACGTGGAACGTCACCTCTCTGGGGGGGAAGGAGCCGGAGCTTGTGCGGGAGGTGGAGCGTTACCAGTTGGATCTGGTTGGGCTCACCTCTACGCACAGCGTCGGCTCTGGAACCTTACTTCTGGATAGGGGTTGGACTCTATTCTTCTCCGGAGTTGCCCAAGGTGTGAGGCGCCGGGCGGGGATACTCACAAGCCCCCGGTTGGGTGCTTCTTTGTTGGAGTTTACCCCAGTGGACGAGAGGATTGCCTCCCTGCCCCTGCGGGTTATGGGGGGGAAAACTCTGACTGTTGTGTGTGCTTATGCACCAAACAGCAGTTCAGAGAATTCGGCCTTCTTGGAGACCCTGGAAAGAGTCCTGTATGGGGCTCCTGAAGGGGACTCTTTAATCTTGCCGGGGGACTTCAACGCACATGTGGGCAATGATGGAGACACTTGGAGTGGCGTGATTGGGAGGAACGGCCCCCCTGAACTGAACCGGAGTGGTGGTTTGTTACTGGACTTCTGTGCTAGTCATGGATTGGCCATAACAAACACCATGTTCGAACATAAGGATGCTCATAAGTGTACGTGGTACCAGAGTACCCTAGGCAGAAGGTCCATGATTGATTTAGTTATTGTATCATCGGACCTGAGGCCGTATGTTTTGGACACTCGGGTAAAGAGAGGGGTGGAGCTGTCAACTGATCACCATCTGGTGGTGAGTTGGGTCGAGTGGCGGGGGAAGCCTCTGGACAGACCTGGTAAGCCCAAACGTGTAGTTCGGGTGAACTGGGAACGTCTGGAGGAGGCCCAAGTTCAGGAGGCCTTCAGCTCAAACCTCCGGCGGAGCTTTTCGGGCATCCCTGTGGAGGCTGGGGACATTGAACCAGAGTGGGCGGTGTTCAAAGCCTCTATTGCCGAAGCCGCGGCGGGGAGCTGTGGTCTCAAGGTCTTAGGTGCCTCAAGGGGCGGTAACCCTCGAACCTCCTGGTGGACACCGGTGGTCAGGGAAGCCGTCCGACTGAAGAAGAAGGCCTTCAGGGATTTGTTATCCCGGGGGACTCCCGAGGCAGTTGCAAGGTACCGACAGGCCCGAAGGGCAGCAGCCTCAGCCGTGGCCGAGGCAAAGCAGCAGGTGTGGGAGAAGTTCGGAGAAGACATGGAAAAGGACTTTCGAGCGGGACCAAAGTTGTTCTGGAAAACTGTCCGACACCTCAGGAGGGGGGAAGCAGGGAACCATCCAAGCTGTGTAGAGTAAGGATGGGACGCTGTTGACCTCAACTGATGGAGTGTTAGGGCGTTGGAAGGAACACTTTGAGGAACTCCTGAACCCGACAACTCCGCCCTCTATGGTAGAGGCAGAGCTGGAGTATGACGGGGGATCAACACCAATCTCCCGGGGGGAGATCACTGAGGTAGTCAAACAACTCCACAGTGGCAAAGCCAAGGGGGTGGATGAGATCCGCCCAGAAATGCTGAAGGCTCTGGGTGTTGAGGGACTGTCATGGTTGACACGTCTCATCAACGTTGCGTGGAAGTCGGAAACAGTACAGAAGGAGTGGCAGACCGGGGTGGTGGTTCCCGTTTCAAAAAGGGGGATCAGAGGGTGTGTGCCAATTATAGAGGCATCACACTACTCAGCCTCCCCGGGAAAGTTTACTCCAACGGCCCGTCCACACGGCGGCGTGCGTTGAAGCTTCAACGCTTCTGCCCATTCACTTTGAATGGGGTGACGTCACGCTTTGCCGAACTGCATTGTGAGCAATGTTCAACTTTTGAAGCTTCGACGGACACGTCAGCCAATCAAATCATATGCCAGTACAAGCTCTAGCCAATCAAACCGCGTGCTTGTGTGTCCGGGGCGGGAGATTCATGTGATTGGTTGTTGGTCGAGTTTCAGACACGCCCACCGGCAAGCTTCAACGCACGCCGCCGTGTGGACACTGCGTAAGGTACTCGAAAGGAGGGTCAGGCCGATTGTCGAACCTCAGATTGAGGAGGAACAATGCGGATTCCGTCCTGGTCGTGGAACGACGGATCAGCTTTTTACTCTCACAAGGATCCTGGAGGGGGCTTGGGAGTATGCTTATCTGGTCTACATGTGTTTTGTAGATTTGGGAAAGGCGTATGACCGGGTTCCCAGGGAGTTACTGTGGGAGGTGCTGCAGGAGTATGGGGTGAGGGGGTCTCTTCTCAGGGCCATCCAATCTCTGTACTCCCAAAGCGAGAGCTGTGTCCGGGTCCTCGGCAGTAAGTCGGACCCATTTCCGGTGAGGGTTGGCCTCCGCCAGGGCTGCGTATTGCCACCGATCCTGTTTGTAATATACATGGATAGGATTTCGAGGCGTAGTCGTGGGAGAGGGGGTCTGCAGTTCGGTGGACTAAGGATTGCACCACTGCTTTTTGCAGATGATG